GGCTTTAAGTGAAACAAAGCTGAAAGGGGTGGGAGAGTTTCAGTGGAGAGGAATAAATGGGATTAGGTCAGGGGTTTCAAATAGAGTTAGAGCTAAAGAAGGAGTAGCAATAATGTTGAAGGATAAGCTATGGCAGGAAAAGAGGGACTATAAATGTATTAATTCAAGGATTATGTGGAGTAAAATAAAGACTGGGTGTGAAAAGTGGGTTATAATAAGCGTATATGCACCTGGAGAAGAGAGAAGTGTAGAGGAGAGAGAGAGATTTTGGGAAATGTTGAGTGAATGCGTGGGGAGTTTTGAATCAAGTGTGAGAGTAATGGTGGTTGGGGATTTCAATGCTAAAGTGGGTAAAAATGTTATGGAGGGAGTAGTAGGTAAATTTGGGGTGCCAGGGGTAAATGTAAATGGGGAGCCTTTAATTGAGCTATGTGTAGAAAGAGATTTGGTAATAAGTAATACATATTTTATGAAAAAGAGGATAAATATACAAGGTATGATGTAGCACGTAATGAAAGTAGTTTATTAGATTATGTATTGGTGGATAAAAGGTTGATGGGTAGGCTCCAGGATGTACATGTTTATAGAGGGGCAACTGATATATCGGATCATTATTTAGTTGTAGCTACAGTTAGAGTAAGAGGTAGATGGGAAAAGAGGAAGGTGGCAACAACAAGTAAGAGGGAGGTGAAAGTGTATAAACTAAGGGAGGAGGAAGTTCGGGTGAGATATAAGCGACTATTGGCAGAAAGGTGGGCTAGTGCAAAGATGAGTAGTGGGGGGGGGGGGGTTGAAGAGGGTTGGAATAGTTTTAAAAATGCAGTATTAGAATGTGGGGCAGAAGTTTGTGGTTATAGGAGGGTGGGGGCAGGAGGAAAGAGGAGTGATTGGTGGAATGATGAAGTAAAGGGTGTGATAAAAGAGAAAAAGGTAGCTTATGAGAGGTTTTTACAAAGCAGAAGTGTTATAAGAAGAGCAGAGTATATGGTGAGTAAAAGAAAGGTAAAGAGAGTGGTGAGAGAGTGGAAAAGGAGAGCAGATGATAGTGGGAGAGGCACTGTCAAGAAATTTTAATGAAAATAAGAAAAAATTTTTGGAGTAAACAAGTTAAGAAAGCCTAGGGAAAGTATGGATTTGTCAGTTAAAAACAGAGTAGGGGAGTTAGTAGATGGGGAGCTGGAGGTATTAGGTAGATGGCGAGAATATTTTGAGGAACTTTTAAATGTTAAGGAAGAAACAGAGGCAGTAATTTCATGCACTGGTCAGGGAGGTATACCATCTTTTAGGAGTGAAGAAGAGCAGAATGTAAGTGTGGGGGAGGTACGTGAGGCATTACGTAAAATGAAAGGGGGTAAAGCAGCTGGAACTGATGGGATCATGACAGAAATGTTAAGAGCAGGGGGGGATATAGTGTTGGAGTGGTTGGTACTTTTGTTTAATAAATGTATGAAAGAGGGGAAGGTACCTAGGGATTGGCGGAGAGCATGTATAGTCCCTTTATATAAAGGAAAGGGGACAAAAGAGACTGTAAAAATTATAGAGGAATAAGTTTACTGAGTATACCAGAAAGTGTACGGTAGGGTTATAATGAAAGAATTAGAGGTAAGACAGAATGTAGGATTGCGGATGAGCAAGGAGGTTTCAGAGTGGGTAGGGGATGTGTAGATCAAGTGTTTACATTGAAGCATATATGTGAACAGTATTTAGATAAAGGTAGGGAAGTTTTTTATGCATTTATGGATTTAGAAAAGGCATATGATAGAGTGGATAGAGGAGCAATGTGGCAGATGTTGCAAGTATATGGAATAGGTGGTAAGTTATTAAATGCTGTAAAGAGTTTTTATGAGGATAGTGAGGCTCAGGTTAGGGTGTGTAGAAGAGAGGGAGACTACTTCCCGGTAAAAGTAGGTCTTAGACAGGGATGTGTAATGTCACCATGGTTGTTTAAATATATTTATAGATGGGGTTGTAAAGGAAGTAAATGCTAGGGTGTTCGGGAGGGGTGGGATTAAATTTTGGGGAATCAAATTCAAAATGGGAATTGACACAGTTACTTTTTGCTGATGATACTGTGCTTATGGGAGATTCTAAAGAAAAATTGCAAAGGTTAGTGGGTGAGTTTGGGAATGTGTGTAAAGGTAGAAAGTTGAAAGTGAACATAGAAAAGAGTAAGGTGATGAGGGTGTCAAATGATTTAGATAAAGAAAAATTGGATATCAAATTGGGGAGGAGTATGGAAGAAGTGAATGTTTTCAGATACTTGGGAGTTGACGTGTCGGCGGATGGATTTATGAAGGATGAGGTTAATCATAGAATTGATGAGGGAAAAAAGGTGATTGGTGCGTTGAGGTATATGTGGAGTCAAAAAACGTTATCTATGGAGGCAAAGCAGGGAATGTATGAAAGTATAGTAGTACCAACACTCTTATATGGGTGTGAAGCTTGGGTGTAAATGCAGCAGCGAGGAGACGGTTGGAGGCAGTGGAGATGTCCTGTCTAAGGGCAATGTGTGGTGTAAATATGCAGAAAATTCGGAGTGTGGAAATTAGGAAAAGGTGTGGAGTTAATAAAAGTATTAGTCAGAGGGCAGAAGAGGGGTTGTTGAGGTGGTTTGGTCATTTAGAGAGAATGGATCAAAGTAGAAGACATGGAAAGCATATAAATCTATAGGGGAAGGAAGGCGGGGTAGGGGTCGTCTCGAAAGGGTTGGAGAGAGGGGTAAAGGAGTTTTGTGGGAAAGGGCTTGGACTTCCAGCAAGCGTGCGTGAGCGTGTTAGGAGTGAATGGAGACGAATGGTACTTGGGACCTGACGATCTGTTGGAGTGTGAGCAGGTAATATTTAGTGAAGGGATTCAGGGAAACCGATTATTTTCATATAGTCGGACTTGAGTCCTGGAAATGGGAAGTACAATTCCTGCACTTTAAAGGAGGGGTTTGGGATATTGGCAGTTTGGAGGGATATGTTGTGTATCTTTATACGTATATGCTTCTAAACTGTTGTATTCTGAGCACCTCTGCAAAAGCAGTGATAATGTGTGTGTGTGGTGAAAGTGTTGAATGATGATGAAAGTATTTTCTTTTTGGGGATTTTCTTTCTTTTTTTGGGTCACCCTGCCTCGGTGGGAGACGGCCGACTTGTTGAAAAAAAAAAAGTCTAAGCTGTTGTATCTGAGTGCCTCTGCAAAGACAATGATTATGTATGAGTGATGGTGAAAGTGTTGAATGATGCTGAAAGTTTTTTCTTTCTTTTTGGGTCACCCTGCCTTGGTGGAAACGGCTAACGTGTTAAATATATATATATATTATATATATATATATATATATATATATATATATATATATATATATATATATATATATATAATATATATATATAAACAGATAGTTACTGTAGGAAATCTATCTCCTGTTTATTCCAAAACGAAATCACATTATCCCGCATGTACGGAAATTTCTGAATTACGCCAAAATTAATGTAAAATAAAAACGTGTTTGAAAATGAGGCGAGATGCGCTAGCCTAGTCTTCCGAGTAGCCGACCACCCGCTGAATAGGCTCTGCCGGAATGATTTAACGTCAATGAATATTTGAGAGGAAATTCATGCCTCTGAATACTTGTCATTGCGTATTAAATTTATGTGAATTATATTTATTTAAATTTTGGGTGGACGTGCTCGATGGCAGTCTGAATTAAGCTTTTATTTCATTTCAAGAATAGGAAGGAGGGATTGATGCTGGTGAAAGCCTCTTGATTCAAGGAACTGGAGCTGGAATTTACTTTCATTAAACCTGATTAACTACCCTTCCCCGGGCACTGTATTAGCCCCACGGGATTAGTGCTACTTTACGGTTCTTCTACTACTACTATTACTATTACTATTGCATCGCATTAGTGTTAACAGTAAAGCTAATATAACTCTTGGTTTCATATTAAGTTATATATATATATATATATATATATATATATATATATATTAATATATATATATAATATATATATATATATATATATATATATATATATATATATAGTCTCATTAGATTCTATTACTCAGTTCTGACCATGAATGCACCGGAAAATACGCAGACAAGAATGACAGCGTTGATCCCATGCATCAGTAACCTTTCCAACGAAAACAGGTTAAGGTATTTACTTTTCAGTGTATAAATGGAACAAACGGGAATAAATATAGAGGATATGAACAACGTACTGAAGTATCTAAGCAAGGCAGGACTCGCAGTAATAGCATTAAGTTTGACAAATTTGTTTAGAAAAGATATAGGGTTTGGCAATATAGTTGTAGATAAGTGGAACACCCAGGTAGCGTCATTGGGTGGCTCTAAATAAAGGTTGGGCGGGTGCCTGTAGTGGGTGAGGAGGACCTGCATATATATATATATATATATAAATATAATATTATATATATATATAATATATATATATAATATATATATATATATATATATATATATATATATCATAGGCTCATAAGGCTACTGTAGTGTTTCTTCATTCTTTTGTTTCATGACAACCATTTCCTGACGAACAAAACACCAAAGCCACCAACTATCAAAACTATTCGAATTTTGAGATACGTTTAAAACGTACTGGGAGCGGAATGGAAAAACAGTATTTCTGAATGTTGAGAGTGCCATCATTAATTTAAACTGTCAGCCAGAGTAATAAATTAGTTAACCCTGCTGTTTCATCCTTGAAAATTGAGTTATTATTATTATTATTATTATTATTATTATTATTATTATTATTATCATCACTGTCACTCAGCCCCAAGAGATAGTCTCAAGAATGTCTCCCAGGGTGATTTATTCTCATACTCTTTCTCTTTCTCACTTTGCGATTTCACAGTTGATAAGCAAATACACACACACGCAAGAACTAATAGGTTGCAGCAGTCCTACTGCTGCAACCCACACGTATTTAGCGCACCCCTCCATGAACATATTAATCATACGGGTTTATACTTGTGTTCTGGACGCAGATATCCGCAGTGGTCCAGAGAAAATGTATGACGCGCGCCATCAACAATGAAATCAAAATGCTAGACACAGCCTACTCAGATATGTGTGAGAAGGAGATGGGATTAATGCTTGACGCTCTCTGGCACAGAGGAGACAATAGGAAGGACTACTTTATTATGAGTAAGGTGAGTGAAAGACTTCCTTGGTTGGATCAACCCCAAAAGTTGTATAAATCCTGTGAGATCAGCGTTTGTTATATAATAACAATAATAATAATATCACTAATATTACTAGTCCTGCTACTACCACTACTACAATTACTATTACTAAAATAATAATAATATCACTATTATTACTGATGGTCCTACTACTACTACTATTCTACTAGAATACTACTACTACTACTACTACTACTACTACTACTACTACTACTACTACTACTACTACTACTACTACTACTACTAATTTATGGTAAAGCAAAGCATTTTTATGTACAGGTTCCCCTGACTGGCAACAAGGAGAACTTGGTAGGAAGGTTCCTGATCCAGACACTGAAGAATCTGAACCTCAATTATCTGGATGTCTACTTCCTGGAAGGTCCTGTGGGCCTCAAGTGTAAGTCTGGAGTAATGGTGGGGGGCTGAGCATGGGGGGCTGAGCGTGCGGGGCATGTGAAAGTGTGGATGGTGGACTTGGAATCTTTGGGGACAAATGTGGATCTGTCAGCAACAGCCTAATACATTTTGTCTTGTGTTTATTAACGTATTTAGTTATTCCTTTTTATATACATGAGTTTTTAAATATATTATTTCTTGTTATCAGCGATTTCTTCGTTACTTTATTTCGTTGTCTGGTGTTTTTATGCGAGTCTCGAGTATTCTCAGCCCCAAGGGTAACGAATCCTTCACGTGTGGAACGGTCTTAGTATTCTTATCTATGTCTTCTTATCTGGCTGTCTGTTTCTTGGGATATTTATATCACTTTCTTGAACTTCCACTTTCCTAATTTTCCATTCATCTTTTTTTTTTTTTAATTTTAACCCGCATGCATGGTCAAATTCTTGCTTAAAATAATCACCTTTTTCTCTAACTGCTATTGTATCCATGTTACTCTCTCCCTCCTCCTCTCTCCCTCTCTTTCTCTCTCTCCCTCTTATTTGTTTCATTTTTCAGACCTCTCCGTGCATCCATATTTGCAAATTCCTCCTACCAACTATTTTCTCTTTTCCCACTGTCTCATTGTTCTCCTTCCCTGTGTACTCGCTGCCTTTCTTACCCCCTTTGATATCTCCTCTTCACGCCTCTTTTGTCAACTCTCTTCTCCGCTTCCCGGCCACAGGCGCGTCTCCTCTCTGGGACTGCATCGTTGTTTGTTGTTCCTATTGAAATTTGACTCCAGGTATTTCAGGAAGATTTTTTTCCCGCTTTTTCATCTTCGTTTTTGATGTGGGTCGCCTTATTTTTCCCTTTGTTTACGCCGTTAAATTTACAGACTGTGAGCTGTTAGCATACTTATGCAGATTAATAGTCTAAGAACTGTCAGCCTACGTCAACTAATTTACAGGCTAAGAACTGTCAACCTACCTCAGTTAATTTACAGGCTAAGAACTGTCAACCTACCTCAACTAATTTACAGGCTAAGAACTGTCAACCTACCTCAACTAATTTACAGGCTAAGAACTGTCAACCTACCTCAGTTAATTTACAGGCTAAGAACTGTCAACCTACCTCAGTTAATTTACAGGCTAAGAACTGTCAACCTACCTCAACTAATTTACAGGCTAAGAACTGTCAACCTACCTCAGTTAATTTACAGGCTAAGAACTGTCAACCTACCTCAACTAATTTACAGGCTAAGAACTGTCAACCTACCTCAACTAATTTACAGGCTAAGAACTGTCAGCCTACCTCAACTAATTTACAGGCTAAGAACTGTCAGCCTACCTCAGCTAATTTATAGGCTAAGACCTGTTATCATACCTTGGTTCATTTTCCCTGCCTGAATTCATTTATAGCGCATCGTATAATAATAATGATAATAATAATAATAATAATAATAATAATAATACGGAAGCCATGTTTGCAGTTGATTATTCCCTAATGATCCACTAAATGAGACATTTTCATCTGCAGTGATTTATGTCATTAGTTTGGCAACTAATGTAGTTAATTGCTGGATGATTACACTTCAAGGCTGCTATTTGTCACTGGTGTGAACCAGCCTAGTTACCAGAATTATTTGTGATTTTCTATCTCGCGCCAGCACCCTACACCATAGAACCAAAAAACTTCTACTGGCTTCATTTTCCCTGGATTAAACGTGATGACCTCCCCTTATATAGGACGCTGTATGACCCTTACGGGTCATGGTAATGTTGATCCATAAATACACACACACACACATACACACACACACATCTAAATTATAATAAACATAATTCTAGTAATTACCTAAACCCATTAAATAAAAGGTTTAATGGACGGTGGATCGAACCTTTTATCGTCCTTTATCTTGTTCATATATACACGAATCCAGGTTCTTTGTATATACCATGAAGAGTAACAATGTCCTTTCACTTGTAGACGTGTATATCTCATTATGTATGCACACCTTGTATCTCATTATGTATGCACACCTTATATCTCATTATGTATGCACACCTTATATCTCATTATGTATGCACACCTTATATCTCATTATGTATGCACACCTTATATCTCATTATGTATGCACACCTTATATCTCATTATGTATGCACACCTTATATCTCATTATGTATGCACACCTTCTATCTCATTATGTATGCACACCTTATATCTCATTATGCATGCACACCTTATATCTCATTATGCATGCACACCTTATATCTCATTATGCATGCACACCTTTAGCTATATTAAAATATTCATGACTTGTTATATACAGGTAAAATGCAGCCTTAATGACCCTCTTGTAGTAGATAAGCTTTAAACCTAACAAACCAACCATCCAGCCTGTAAGGTCCATGGTCTTAAAATGGGACGCAAATACCTTACAATTCACGCTTCATTAAATTTCTAAATTCCGGAAAAATTCGAACCCGATTATTTTGGAAAACAGTAAGGTGAGGGAAGACTGTTCCATTGTGCGAAGACCCGCAGTGTGTGGCTACACTGTTCTGAATGTTGGTTACACTGTTGGAATACACGAAGTGTGTTGTTACGCTGCTTTGTAAGATAGTAACACTGTTGGAGCACCAGCAGTGTGTTGCTACACTTTTATATGATAGTTATATTCTGGGAATACCCGCAGTGTGTTGCTAGGCTACTCTATATGATAGTTACATTGTTGGAAATACCCGCAGTGTGTTGCTGGGCTACTCTATATGATAGTTACATTGTTGGAAATACCCGCACTGTGTTGCTGGGCTACTCTATATGATAGTTACATTGTTGGAAATACCCGCACTGTGTTGCTAGGCTACTCTATATGATAGTTACATTGTGGGAAATACCCGCACTGTGTTGCTAGGCTACTCTATATGATAGTTACATTGTTGGAAATACCCGCACTGTGTTGCTAGGCTACTCTATATGATAGTTACATTGTTGGAAATACCCGCACTGTGTTGCTAGGCTACTCTATATGATAGTTACATTGTTGGAAATACCCGCACTGTGTTGCTAGGCTACTCTATATGATAGTTACATTGTTGGAAATACCCGCACTGTGTTGCTGGCTACTCTATATGATAGTTACATTGTTGGAAATACCCGCACTGTGTTGCTAGGCTACTCTATATGATAGTTACATTGTTGGAAATACCCGCACTGTGTTGCTACTCTATGTATGATGGTTACCTTATAATAATATGATCGGTACAAAAGCTAGCTATTTCTTTTTGTATTCCATGACACAAGGTAGTGAAATGCACCAACCAGAGCTGGGAGACTTCGGTAGGTTAGATAAAAGTCGACAGGAAACGGGACAAGAGTTTCCTGACGCGTTTGATGACTCGCCACTTTTGGTCACCTGACCGAGGCCTTCCACCGGCTTACCAGTCCACCCCTTCAAAAACTAGCTAATATTTCCTAGTGCGTCAACATTTCCTCATAGACTTGGGCAGCTTCAACAGTTTTCTGTCAACAGAACTAGAGTTACTATTGAGAATTACACGATGACTAGGGGATAAATTATTCTATTATCCCAATCCACACACACACAAAACACATTAGAAGAAATGCTGCTAATGGAAGGATGATGGTGGTGTTGCCAGCACCACTGCTGCTAACGAAATGCTAAGTATTAGCAACGAGAGATTTTTTTTAAGCTCCTACCAGTTCTTGCTGCACTGTCACCACGAATTGATTGATGTTTACAAAGCTGACGAGGTCAAACACTGCAAATGTGTCATGCTGCATGCACTTAGTGTTGATGTTTGCTGTTTGGTGTGGCACTCCTGCCCCAGCTGTGCTTCCTGTACTCTCTCTCTCTCTCTCTCTCTCTCTCTCTCTCTCTCTCTCTCTCTTCTCTCTCTCTCTCTCTCTCTCTCTCTCTCTCTCTCTCTCTCTCTCTCTCCCTCTCTTTCTCTCTCTCTCTCTCTCTCTCTCCCACACACACATAGACGATTTCCTTGGCACACACATAGACGCTTTCCTTGAGTTGCAGGGGTGGATTAACAGCTCCTGGCCTTGTGTTTGAGTGTGTACTCACTTATATTGGGTTGCAGGGGTGGATTAACAGTTCCTGGCCCTGTACTCACCTATTTGCTCACCTATTTGTGGTTGCAGGGGTCGAGTCTTAGCTCCTGGCCCCGCCTCTTCACCGGTTGCTACTGGGCCCTCTCTCTCCCCGCTCCATGAGCTTTATCAAACCTCGTCTTAAAACTGTGTATGGTTCCTGCCTCCACTACGTCATTTTCTAGGCTATTCCACTGCCTTACAACTCTATGACTGAAGAAATACTTCCTAATATCTCTCTGACTCATTTGTGTCTTCAACTTCCAATTGTGGCCTCTTGTTTCTGTGTCCCCTCCCTGGAACATCCTGTCTTTGTCCACCTTGTCTATTCCATGCAGTATTTTATATGTCGTTATCATGTCTCCCTGACCCTCCTGTCCTCCAGTGTCGTCAGGCCGATTTCCCTTAATCTTTCTTCATAGGACATTCCCCTTAGCTCTGGAACTAACCTTGTTGCAAACCTTTGTACTTTCTCTAGTTTCTTGACGTGCTTTATCAAGTGCGGGTTCCAAACAGGTGCTGCATACTCCAGTATGGGCCTGACATACACGGTGTACAGTGTCTTGAACGATTCCTTACTAAGGTATCGGAATGCTGTTCTCAGGTTTGCCAGGCGCCCATATGCTGCAGCAGTTATCTGGTTGATGTGTGCTTCCGGAGACATGCTCGGTGTTATACTCACCCCAAGATCTTCTCCTTGAGTGAGGTTTGCAGTCTTTGGCCACCTAGCCTATACTCGGTCTGTGGTCTTCTGTGCCCTTCCCCTATCTTCATGACTTTGCATTTGGCAGGATTAAATTCGAGAAGCCATTTGCTGGACCAGGTGTCCAGTCTGTCCAGGTCTCTTTGAAGTCCTGCCTGGTCCTCATCAGATTTAATTCTCCTCATTAACTTCACGTCATCTGCAAACAGGGACATTTCTGAGTCTAACCCTTCCATCATGTCGTTCACATATACCAAAAATAGCACTGGTCCTAGGACCGACCCCTGTGGGACCCCGCTCGTCACAGGTGCCCACTGTGATACATCATTACGTACCATGACTCGTTGTTGTCTCCCTGTCAGGTATTCTCTGATCCATTGCAGTGCCCTTCCTGTTATATGCGCCTGATGCTCTAGCTTCTGCACTAATCTCTTGTGAGGAACTGTGTCAAAGGCCTTCTTGCAGTCCAAGAAGATACAATCAACCCTTGTGTGTGTGTGTGTGTGTGTGTGTGTGTTGTTTTAAATGTTTGTTTTCACAGGGAGGAGCGATGCTGAGGTCATGCCCAGGTACCCGGCGACTGGTAAGCTCCAGCTAGACATGACTACGGACATCGTGAAGGTCTGGTTAGCCATGGAGACTCAGGTGAGGGTGGGCTTTCAAACCAAGGAATTGGAGCTACTCTTCTTTCTCAGACGCCGTATAACCCATACGGGTTTAGCATTTACTTATGAATTTAATAATTTTCAAACCAACCACATAAAAATATATATCACTTAAAATCTAAGGAAACTATCAATTTGTTTTGAGGTAATGCAAATATCATAATTTTTTCAATTATTATAATTATAACTAAGCTAAACCCACAAGGGTCATGCAGTTATTTTTTTCTTTCAAATTTAAAGCCTATCGACTAGGAGGCTCTGGTGGCCTGGTGGTTAACGCTCTCGCTTCACACGGTGAGGGCCTGGGTTCGATTCCCAGCCAGAGTAGAAACATTGGACGTGTTTCTTTCCACCTGTTGTCTATGTTCCCCATCAGTAAAATGGGTACCTGGGTGTTAGTCGACTGGTGTGGGTCGCATCCTGGGACAATGACCTAAGGAGGCCTGGTCACAGACCGGGCCGCGGGGGCGTTGACCCCCGGAACTCACTCCAGGTAATCCAGGACTACACGAAGGTCATTAAAGCTGACCACCACCAGTGACAATAATAGTCAAATTAAGAATTTAAGTAAACCTTAAACATATATACACCGTGGAACACGGCTTCAGGAAGAAATCCAAATACTCTTCCTTGAAGCCTTTTTATCCACTTTTCCGAGGCTGTGGGTCCCACAATTTACACCAGAGATGGACCCCATCTATATATATATATATATATATATATATATATATATATATATATATATATATATATATATATATATATATATATGTCGTGCCGAATATGTAAAACTGGTCAATTAGCAAGAACTCATTTAAAATTAAGTCCTTTCTAAAATTTTCTCTTATACGTTTAAAGATATATTTTTTTCGTTAATGTTAATGTAAAAATTTTTAATTTTGCTCCAAAAGAATCTTAGAAAACTTACCTAACCTTATTATAACAAGAGCAATTTATTTTAGCCTAACCCAACTAAATATATTTTAAATACGTTTACAATAATTTAGTATTAAACAAACACAATCAAATATATTTTTTTCGTTAGGTTCAGAATGATTTTGGTGAAATTATTGCATACACAAATTTTCACTTGTCCTATATGGCAAGATGAACGTTGCTATTTAAGCCAAGATGGCAAGTTCTGCCTATTCGGCACGACATATATATATATATTCTTCTTTCAACGTACCAGCCGTATCCCACCGAGGCAGGGTGGCCCAAAAGAAAAAACTAAAGTTTCTCCTTTTAAATTTAGTAATATATACAGGAGAAAGGGTTACTAGCCCCTTGCTCCCGGCATTTTAGTCGCCTCTTACGACACGCATGGCTTACAGAGGAAGAATTCTGTTCCACTTCCCCATGGAGATAAGAGGAAATAAACAAGAACAAGAATTAGAAAGAAAATAGAAGAAAACCCAGAGGGGTGTGTATATATATGCTTGTACATGTATGTGTAGTGTGACGTAAGTGTAAGTAGAAGTAGCAAGACATACCTGTAATCTTGCATATTTATGAGACAGACAAAAGACACCAGCAATCCTACCATCATGTAAAGCAATTACAGGCTTTCGTTTTACACTCACTTGGCAGGACGGTAGTACCTCCCTGGGCGGTTGCTGTCTACCAACCTACTACCTATATATATATATATATATATATATATATATATATATATATATATATATATATATATATATATATATATATATATACATAATGTAATTCTTGCTGTGTATATATTGGTGTAAATATATCTTAGTATATAATGAACGTATTATGAAGATTAGTAAAATATAAATATTATTAAAATCTCGTCATTGAGGCAACAAAACTTATAGTAAAATTCTAATATTTTTATTAGTATTTTATTGTTTTTTAATATAAAGCATTTTTAAATTAGATATGTAAATTTTTCTTACTGATAAAATAATATTAATTGAAAAATTACTTTATTTTTTCAATCAAGAATTTATTTAAAAACATTGAAATGTAAATCGTGTAGCGGACTGCCTTCAGTGGGAGCACATAGTGGCTGGTGAAGGGCTCTTGATCCCAGGAGTAAGAGCACCCCGTCCCTTTCCTCGCAGCAAACCGTGAATATTAATATGTGTGTGTGTGTTTACCTTGCAGTTCTATGCGGGTCGAACTAGATTCATCGGTCTGTGTCATTTTAATATGGACCAGGTGTCAAGGATCTTAGAGGGTCAGTCACTACTGGGATGTTTACGTCTGTAGTTCTTGTTGTCTGTTTTTGTTGTCTGTTTTAGTAGCCTGTTCTTGTCTGTTCTCGTAGCCTGTTCTTGTTGTCTGTTCTCGTAAACTGTTCTTGTTGTCTGTTCTCGTAGAGAGTTCTTGTCTGTTCTCGTATAGTATTCCAGTGGTCTGTTCTCGAAGTGTTCGTGTTGTCTGTTCTCGTAGCCTGTTGTCTGTTCTCGAAGTGTTCTTATTTTATGTTCTCGTTGAGTATTTCTGTCTGTTCTCGTAGCCTGTTCTTGCAAACTGCAACATCAAAACGTACGTCACCCACACGTCTCATCCATCACAGGCTGCAACGTCAAACCACACTTCATCCAGCTGGATGTGAACGCCTACAGTATGCGTCACAGTGAGAGGTACTCGCTGGTGAAGCTGGGTATTAATGTCATAGCTACCTACTCCCTCGGTAATCCTGATCTACAAATCGAGTAAGTCCTCACTCACTACTGGGTTTTGCTTTTCTTACCTAGCATTACACTTATTAACGATAATTATGTTACCTTAATATAGGGTAAATTTCTTTACCTTAGAGTAACTTACGTAAGTTTAGGTTGTATATGTATGTATATATAAAGGAGGTTTTGTGGGTAAGGGGCTTGGACTTCCAGCAAGCGTGCGTGAGCGTGTTAGATAGGAGTGAATGGAGACGAATGGTACTTGGGACCTGACGATCTGTTGGAGTGTGAGCAGGGTAATATTTAGTGAAGGGATTCAGGGAAACCGGTTATTTTCATAGAGTCGGACTTGAGTCCTGGAAATGGGAAGTACAATGCCTGCACTTTAAAGGAGGGGTTTGGGATATTGGCAGTTTGGAGGGATATGTTGTGTATCTTTATATGTGTATGCTTCTAGACTGTTGTATTCTGAGCACCTCTGCAAAAACATTGATAATGTGTGAGTGTGGTGAAAGTGTTGAATGATGATGAAAGTATTTTCTTTTTGGGGATTTTCTTTCTTTTTTGGGTCACCTTGCCTCGGTGGGAGACGGCCGACTTGTTGAAATATATATATATATATATATATATATATTATATATATAATATATATATATATATATATATATATATATTATATATATATATATATATATATATATATATATATATATATATATATATATATATATATATATTAATATATATATATATATATATATATATATATATATATATATATATATGCAGAGGCGCTCAGATACGACAGTTTAGATATCCCTCCAACTACCAATATCCCAAACACGTCCTTTAAAACCCGTAAACGGTCCAAACGTATATATACGTTTTTTCAACATTTGAAAGTGTAAAAAAAAGTAATCTTCTCTTTGTTTTTTTACATTTGAAAATGTGTAAAACAAAAATTTGATCTACTTTTTTTTGTTATATTTGAAAATATGTAAAAAAAACGTAATGTACTTTTGTAGCACTACGCGTGTGAACGTAGATCTGCTTGGACCGTTTACGGGTTAATTAAAGTGCAGACAAGGTACTTCTTAATAGATATGGTGGTTACATGTCTTCAGAGGAATGATTCTTCTGAAGATGTGTGTGTAAACACACGAAATCGCTCGGGTTTTATTTAAAATTTTCACTGGTATTTTTTTTTTTTCATATTTACAATCACGTATTTTATTGTGATTTCTTCCTTAATGGCCGCGGCCCGACACGTCAGGGTGATTTATAGAAGAAAAAACATTTACCATCGTTCATTCTATGGCTGTTGTTCCACAAGTGTGCTTGCATCACATGAGAAACACACACGCACACACACACACGGGGCCAGGAGCTGTGACTCGACCCCTGCAACCACAAATAGGTGAGTACACACACACACAGAGTCCCTGTTTGCAGATGATGTGAAGCTGATGAGAAGAATTCAGTCGGACGAGGACCAGGCAGAACTACAAAGGGATCTGGACAGGCTGCAGGCTTGGTCCAGAAACTGGCTTCTGGAGTTCAACCCCACCAAGTGCAAAGTCATAAAGATTGGGAAGGGCAAAGAAGACAGCAGACAGAGTACAGTTTAGGGGGCCAGAGACTACAAACCTCACTCAAGGAAAAAGATCTCGGGGTGAGTATAACACTAGGCACATCTCCTGAGGCGCACATCAAAATAACTGCTGCAGCATACGGGGGCCTAGCAAACCTCAGAACAGCATTCCGACATCTTAATAAGGAATCGTTCAGGACTGTGTACACTGTGTACGTTAGGCCCATATTGGAGTATGCAGCACCAGTTTGGAACCCACACCTAGGCAAGCACGTAAGGAAATTAGAGAAAATTCTAAGGTTTACAACAAGACTAGTCCCAGAGCTAGGGGGCATGTCCTACGAGGAGGAGGTTAAGGGAAATCGACCAGACGACACTGGAGGACAGGAGAGATAGGGGGGATATGATAACAACATATAAAATACTGACAGGAATCGACAAGGTGGACAGAGACAGGATGTTCCAGAGATGAGACACATTAACAAAGGGTCACAGTTGGAAGTTGAAGACACAGATGAATCACAGAGATGTTAGGAAGTATTTCTTCAGTCACAGAGTTGTCAGGAAGTGGAAGAGTCTGGGGAGTGATGTAGTGGAGGCAGGATCCATACATAGCTTTAAGAAGAGGAATGATAGAGCTCATGGAGTAGGAAGAATGACCTAGTAGCTACCAGTGAAGAGGCAGGGCCAGGAGCTGTGACTCGATCCCTGCAACCACGATTAGGTGAGTACACACACACACACACACACACCAGAATAATAATATATTGAACTTCAGGGCACATTAAGTCACTCCCAACAAACCCAAACTGGTAGTTAGGTTGGACCGGTGAGTCATTTTGGGGCTGCTGTAATTTCACATGTTTTTCGCGTTGTTATGTAATTACGTGGCGTAATTAACAGACAGTGGCTGCAATACTGTGAGGGCGATAACTCACAAGCGACGGGACACTGGTTCGATACCCAGGTGGGGCGAGAAGTATGGGTCAGTTGTAGCTTTGAAACTGAGTTTGGCTTCATGGGATGGAGGTGCCTTGTTGCTGGTGATCTTCATCCAAGGAACTGCAGCTAATCTCTTTCCCCTTTCCCGGCTCAAGTCTGATTGCATCCCATTCTTCAAAACTTGGAATGACACTATTCCTGTCCACTTGGGACTAGGAATGACACCATTCCTGTTCACTTAACACTAGGAATGACACCATTCCTGTTCACTTAACACTAGGAATGACACAATTCCTGTTCACTTAACACTAGGAATGACACCATTCCTGTTCACTTAACACTAGGAATGACACCATTCCTGTTCACTTAACACTAGGAATGACACCATTCCTGTTCATTTAACACTAGGAATGACACCATTCCTGTTCACTTAACACCAGGAATGACACCATTCTTGTTCACTTAACACTAGGAATGACACCATTCCTGTTCACTTAACACTAGGAATGACACCATTTCTATTCACTTAACACTAGGAATGGCACCATTCCTGTTCACTCAACACCAGGAATGACACCATTCCTGTTCATTTAACACCAGGAATGACACCATTCCTGTTCACTTAACACTAGGAATGACACCATTCCTGTTCACTTAACACTAGGAATGACACCATTCCTGTTCACTTAACACTAGGAATGACACCATTCCTGTTCACTTAACACTAGGAATGACACCATTCCTGTTCACTTAACACTAGGAATGACACCATTCCTGTTCACTTAACACTAGGAATGACACCATTCCTGTTCACTTAACACTAGAAATGACACCATTCCTGTTCACTTAACACTAGGACTGACACCATTCCTGTTCACTCAACACCAGGAATGACACCATTCCTGTTCATTTAACACCAGGAATGACACTATTCCTGTTCACCATTCCACTAGGAATGACACTATTTCTGTTCACTTAACACCAGGAATGACACCATTCCTGTTCACTTAACACTAGGAATGACACCATTCCTGTTCACTTAACACTAGGAATGACACCATTCCTGTTCACTTAACACTAGGAATGACAACATTCCTGCAAACTTATGAGTAATACCAGTCATGTTGATGACACCTTTGGTGTGTGTGTGTGTGTAGTTAGCGAATATTACTCGCATTAGAGAGAAATATCAATGAATCTGTCTCTGTCTCTGTCTCTCTCTCTCTCCCTCTCTCTCTCTCTCTCTCTCTCTCTCTCTCTCTCTCTCTCTCTCTCTCTCTCTCTCTCTCTCTCTCTCTCTCTCTCTCTCTCTAATTAAATTCATGTCACTAATGACGCCTCAATTTTTTTTCCAAGAAGACACGAGACGATTGGTAATTAAGAAGATGGTTCCTAATTGTGATCACGACCCTAGCACCACGACCCTAGCACCACGACCCTAGCACCACGAGCCTAGCACCACGACCCTGACACCACGAGCCTAGCACCACGACCCTGGCACCACGAGCCTAGCACCACGACCCTAGCACCACGAGCCTAGCACCACGACCCTAGCACCACGAGCCTAGCACCACGATCCTAGCACCACGACCATAGCCCCACGACCATAGCCCCACGACTATAGCCCCACGACCATAGCCCCACGACTATAACCCCACGGCCATAGCCTCACGACCCTGGCCCTAAGACCACAATATTAACTGGGTCTAACGAAGACAGTCCAAACAACTAGGTTAAAATGAATTAACTCTAAGTTAATTTTTGGAAAATGAGTTAAAAGTTGATAGTTATGAAAGGTTGTAATGACCTGAATCACTCTCACTTGCGTGTCGTAATAACCATAATAACAACCGTAATTAACGTAATCGAATCATTCGTAATTAAATTCGTAATCGTGTTGTTTTGGCTCCTCTAGCCTACCAATCATTAATTCACATTTCAGGGGGGAAAGGTATATACTTTTTATTTCAGGAATGTTGGTATATATGTTGCAGTGATGTATGCTGGTATTTTTTATCTTGATGTGGTAGAGGTGGTTTTCTGCACTGTTAATGACTCTTTGATCACCCTTATGTTCATCATACCTTCACGAGTCTTCATAAATATTATATATATATATATATATATATATATATATATATATATATATATATATATTTGTGTGTGTGTGTGTGTGTGTGTGTGTGTGTGTGTGTGTGTGTGTGTGTGTGTGTGTGTGTGTGTGTGTGAATAACTAAAGTGTAACGGACACTTGCCAGTGTTCAATAACGCACATGGAGACAGAAACTCAGTAGGTTGATCGATAAGCATATTTCGACTCTCTTTTGGGATCCTCTTCAGAAGAGCATCCCATAAGAGGGTCGAAATATACAGATCAGTCAGCCTCCAGAGTGTCTGTCTCCATGTTGGTTATTACAACTAAGATAACTAGTAATAAATGACTGAAAATAAAGAGAATACTGGGCGTGGACTCGAACAATAAATGTACAGCGCCGAGCTTGGTATACTGGAGAGGGTTTCGGGTGGACCATCGCCCCCGCAACCCGGTCTGTAACCAGGTCTTTCAGTACGAGAACCACGCTTCCCGTCCCCGCCCAGCATTCTGGTTATACATATGCACCATTACATAGTTTCCTCTGCCTTCAGCCATAAAGCACGGCTACGAAATAATGCAAGCGTCAGGAATATAGCACGACAACATGGCGTCAACGCCGCATCAGTCTTGATCAAATTTCTGCTGTACCATAACATAATCACCTTACTGAAGGGCGTCAGCATGACTGATGTGGGACACATCTGTACAGTAAGTACCAGTCACTCTCTTAAAAAACAAAACAATTGTATCTTTTTTCATGGGCTATGGGGAGTCGAACCTGGATAAACAAGAACTCTTCAACTCAACCAAGTAATCACTTCGGTTCTCAGTATTATATATATATATATATATATATTATATATATATATATATATATATATATATATATATAATATATATATATATATATATATATATATATTTTTTTTTTTTTTTTCAACAAGTCGGCCGTTTCCCACCGAGGCAGGGTGACCCAAAAAAAAAGAAAGAAAATCCCCAAAAAGAAAATACTTTCATCATCATTCAACACTTTCACCACACTCACACATTATCACTGCTTTTGCAGAGGTGCTCAGAATACAACAGTTTAGAAGCATATACGTATAAAGATACACAACATATCCCTCCAAACTGCCAATATATATTATATATATATATATATATATATATATATATATATATATATATATATATATATATATAAACACGCCGGCCGTCTCCCACCGTGGCAGGGTGTCCTGGAAAGAAAGAAACACTTTCACCATCATTCACAAAATCACTGTCATTGCAGAGGCGCCCAGATACGACACTTTAGATGTCACCCCAGACAACAAATAAAATAAATAAAAATATTTTCAACCTTTTAATTTAGGTTTTGGTTTGACAGGATCTTCCTCGGTTCACACTGACGGATGAGAACATTTATTCATTAAACAGACTCGTAATTCCCGGTGCTGGTCGCCTCCAGGAGTTCCCAGACTATAAGGGGTATGTGCAGTTCTACGTTTTTTTGGCTATGACCCCTGTAAATTTAGCGCTTTCCCGTAAATCAGGAAAAAGAAAGAGAAAATATTTATAGTATTCCCCTTGTTATTTCTTGTGTGTGTGTGTGTGTGTGTGTGTGTGTGTGTGTGTGTGTGTGTGGTGTGTGTGTGTGTGTGTGTGTGTGTGTGTGTGTGTGTGTGTGTGTGTGTGTCCTTTAATTGCTGGGTTTAACTAAAGAAATTTTCACTATAGGATTTGGAGCTTCCTTTCCTATATTTGAATTAATCCCAGACGCTGTATTACAATTGTCAGTGGTTAGAAAATAAGATAACGTATGTAAATAAAACGGTATCGACACTTTTACTTGGGTGTGAGACATGGGCTTTACACGTTGCACCGAGGAGGAGCCTGGAGCCTGGAGCCAGTAGAAATGTTGTGTCTAAGAACAATGTTCGGTGTCAACATTATGCTAAATAGAGAGAAAAAACATTACCAGAAGATGGTGGTGATGTTAATGGTATATTTTAGAAAGGAGAATAGAAGTTATTGAGTAAGTGTGAAGAGGATGGCTGGAGGAAGATAGGTTGGTCAGGAGAGTATATATACTTGGGAGGAATGCCTGTTTTATCATGTTATGTTCCACTCTGTGTAGAGCTTTATCATGTTATGTTTCACTCTGTGTAGAGCTTTATCAGGTTATGTTCCACTCTGTGTAGAGCTTTATCATGTTATGTTTCACTCTGTGTAGAGCTTTATCAGGTTATGTTCCACTCTGTGTAGAGCTTTATCAGGTTATGTTCCACTCTGTGTAGAGCTTTATCAGGTTATGTTTCACTCTGTGTAGAGCTTTATCAGGTTATGTTTCACTCTGTGTAGAGCTTTATCAGGTTATGTTTCACTCTGTGTAGAGCTTTATCAGGTTATGTTTCACTCTGTGTAGAGCTTTATCAGGTTATGTTTCACTTTGTGTAGAGCTTTATCAGGTTATGTTTCACTCTGTGTAGAGCTTTATCAGGTTATGTTTTGCTCTGTGTAGAGCTTTGTCAAAGTTATGTTTCACTCTGTGTAGAGCTTTATCAGGTTATGTTTCACTCTGTGTAGAGCTTTGTCAAAGTTATGTTTCACTCTGTGTAGAGCTTTATCAGGTTATGTTTTGCTCTGTGTAGAGCTTTATCAGGTTATGTTTCACTCTATGTAGAGCTTTATCAGGTTATGTTTCACTCTATGTAGAGCTTTATCAGGTTATGTTTCACTCTGTGTAGAGCTTTATCAGGTTATGTTTCACTCTGTGTAGAGCTTTATCAGGTTATGTTTTGCTCTGTGTAGAGCTTTGTCAAAGTTATGTTTCACTCTGTGTAGAGTTTTATCAGGTTATGTTTCACTCTGTGTAGAGCTTTGTCAAAGTTATGTTTCACTCTGTGTAGAGCTTTATCAGGTTATGTTTCACTTTGTGTAGAGCTTTATCAGGTTATGTTTTGCTCTGTGTAGAGCTTTGTCAAAGTTATGTTTCACTCTGTGTAGAGCTTTATCAGGTTATGTTTCACTCTGTGTAGAGCTTTGTCAAAGTTATGTTTCACTCTGTGTAGAGCTTTATCAGGTTACATTTCACTCTGTGTAGAGCTTTATCAGGTTATGTTTCACTCTGTGTAGAGCTTTATCAAAGTTATGTTTCACTCTGTGTAGAGCTTTATCAGGTTACATTTCACTCTGTGTAGAGCTTTATCAGGTTATGTTTTGCTCTGTGTAGAGCTTTATCAGGTTATGTTTCACTCTGTGTAGAGCTTTATCAAAGTTATGTTTCACTCTGTGTAGAGCTTTATCAGGTTATGTTTTGCTCTGTGTAGAGCTTTATCAGGTTATATTTCACTCTGTGTAGAGCTTTATCAAAGTTATGTTTCACTCTGTGTAGAGCTTTGTCAAAGTTATGTTTCACTCTGTGTAGAGCTTTATCAGGTTATGTTTCACTCTGTGTAGAGCTTTATCAGGTTATGTTTCACTCTGTGTAGAGCTTTATCAGGTTATGTTTCACTCTGTGTAGAGCTTTATCAGGTTATGTTTCACTCTGTGTAGAGCTTTATCAAAGTTATGTTTCACTCTATGTAGAGCTTTATCAAAGTTATGTTTCACTCTATGTAGAGCTTTATCAAAGTTATGTTTCACTCTATGTAGAGCTTTATCAGGTTATGTTTCACTCTGTGTAGAGCTTTGTCAAAGTTATGTTTCACTCTATGTAGAGCTTTGTCAAAGTTATGTTTCACTCTATGTAGAGCTTTATCAAAGTTATGTTTCACTCTATGTAGAGCTTTGTCAAAGTTATGTTTCACTCTGTGTAGAGCTTTGTCAAAGTTATGTTTCACTCTGTGTAGAGCTTTATCAAAGTTATGTTTCACTCTGTGTAGAGCTTTATCAAAGTTATGTTTCACTCTATGTAGAGCTTTATCAAGTCATGATTCCCTCTGAGTAGAATTTGATTAAACTCCAAAAGGTTTACTCTCAACCAATTATCTCTCGACCATTTTTTTTTTACATTATCACTTCAGAAAAGTTTTTTTTGTTATTTTTCAGATGCATGAGTCACCCAGAGTTTCCCTTCTTCGAGGATTACAACGTAAAATATCGGAAGATCGAGTGGTCAACTGACACGGTATACAAGGGCGAGCACAAGAAGAAGAAATGGTTATCTGAAAACTATAAGCCCCCCAATAGAGTGAAGCTGGAGGATCGTAGGAGTCCACCAGTCATCCCTCATCCTGTGTTCAAGAAACTCAACTGCAAACCAGCCTACTGCCCCACCTGAAGATCCTCTGGGAGTTAGCGAGAAAGGTGGTTTTTCCCTGCATCTCAGCAGCGAGGGACCGAAGTCGATAGCAACTTCTTCAATCGACGCGTCGTTGTCCACGCTGGCTAATTACCCGGGCAAAACCATTGAACTTCTGGCTGATGGTTTCATATGTGTCTCCTTGAGAGAACTGGGTATCATGTTCAACGGATCCTTCTTAACGACTTTACACTTAGAAACCAAAGAGATTTATAAGTACATGCAGTGCATAAATCGGGTTGCCCAGAAAATCGCTGAGGCTAACAAGAAAGGAGATCAATAAGGATGTTTTCGATTTTGAGTTAGAACCTGCAGAAGAAGAGGAAACCCCTAAAGTGAAATTTAATCCCAAAGTCAAACTCAGTTAACGAAAATAGAGCAAATAAAAAAACCGCCAATGTATCCTTTAAAGAGTTAGCAGACGAGAAAGAGAAGATGGTGCCAGGCAGAAGAAAGATGGTGCCAGGCAGAAAGAAGATGATGCAAGGAAGAGAAAAAATGGTGCCAGGCAGAGAAAAGAGGGTGCCAGGCAGAGAAAAGATGGTGCCAGGCAGAGAAAAGATGGTGTCAGGCAGAGAAAAGAGGCTGCCAGGCAGAGAAAAGATGGTGCCAAGCAGAGAAAAGAGGCTGCCAGGCAGAGAAAAGAGGGTGCCAGGCAGAGAAAAGAGGGTACCAGGCAGAGAAAAGAGGGTACCAGGCAGAGAAAAGATGGTGCCAAGCAGAGAAAAGAGGCTGCCAGGCAGAGAAAAGAGGGTGCCAGGCAGAGAAAAGAGGGTACCAGGCAGAGAAAAGATGGTGCCAAGCAGAGAAAAGAGCGAGAGAGGGCTGCCAGGCAAAAGAGGGGAAGCAAGAAAGAGGCTGCCAGGCAGAGAAAAGAGGCTGCCAGGCAGAGAAAAGATGGTGCCAGGCAGAGAAAAGATGGTGCCAGGCAGAGAAAAGATGGTGCCTGGCACAAAAAAGATGGTGCCAGGCACAAAAAAGATGGTGCCAGGCAGACAAAAGATGATGCCAGGCAGAAATAAAAAGTTGGCGTCAGACGACGCAAAGATCATGGACGACGTCAAAAAGATGGTGCCAGGCAAGAAGATGATGATAGACAACATAGACACGGAGGTATCAGAGAACATAGACACGGAGGTATCACACAACATAGACACGGAGGTATCAGAGAACATAGACACGGAGGTATCACACAACATAGACACGGAGGTATCACACAACATAGACACGGAGGTATCAGAGAACATAGACACGGAGGTATCACACAACATAGACACGGAGGTATCACACAACATAGACACGGAGGTATCAGAGAACATAGACACGGAGGTATCACACAACATAGACACGGAGGTATCAGAGAACATAGACACGGAAGTATCACACAACATAGACACGGAGGTATCACACAACATAGACACGGAAGTATCACACAACATAGACACGGAGGTATCAGAGAACATAGACACGGAGGTATCACACAACATAGACACGGAAGTATCACACAACATAGACACGGAGGTATCAGAGAACATAGACACGGAGGTATCACACAACATAGACACAGAGGTATCACACAGCACAGACACGGAGGCATCACAGAACATAGACACGGAGGTATCACACAACATAGACACGGAGGTATCACACAACACAGACACGGAAGTATCACACAGCACAGACACGGAGGTATCAGAGAACAATTCACAGCGCCAAAAGGCTGATATAAAAGCTTCACTCGCTCTTGTCTCTCAGACTTCGATCCAAGACAAACAGTCACAAAGTACAAGAAAGAAAACCACCAAACACATACGGGACAGTGACAAACCCAGCATAACCCATAAGTTTCACGAACTCCCCCGAAGAACCTTCTTACCGCGGCTTGCAAAGAACTTCGGTGAGGAGACGCCATACACAGCTGAATATGAAATAGATTGCCAGGAGGAATCCCCGGATGCTATCGACATCAACACACATGGTGCAGCTAACGAGGAGACACCGCAAGCAGACAGCAGTCAATTTCCACAACAAGAAACCTGCCGTAGCTCCATCACTAAGGAAGCAAGCAAAAGCAATAGTAGCCAAAGGTCTCAACAACATTTCGCCCCACAGACACCAAAACAAAGCATCTCCAAGACAGATAACTCAAAGACGACTTTACAAGAAAATGTTTCACTGCATCCAGAGAAAAACGAAAACATGGCAGTCAGCCAGAGAGACAATCGTAAGCGGATACATACATTAGCTCAGTCAAATATACTTAATATATTAAAAACACGGCGACAGTAACTGGTTCACTCCCTGAGCAAAGACAAGGCGACAGTAACTGGTTCACTCCCTGAACAAAGACAGGGCAACAGTAACTGTTCACTCCTGAGCAAAGACAAGGCGACAGAACTGGTTCATCCCTGAACAATGACAAGCGACAGTAACTGTTCATCATGAGCTAAAATCAGGCAACAGTAACTGGTTCACTCCCTGAGCAAAGACAAGGCGACAGTAACTGGTTCACTCCCTGAACAAAGACAAGGCGACAGTAACTGGTTCACTCCCTGAGCAAAGACAGGGCAACAGTAACTGGTTCACTCCCTGAGCAAAGACAGGGCGACAGTAACTGGTTCACTCTCTGAGCAAAGACAGGGCGACAGTAACTGGTTCACTTCCTGAGCAAAGATAGCCAGAGGTACAACTAAACTAAAAATTTGAGTAACAATGAAAACCCAAACGAGGCTTGTGCCTCGTTTGGGTTTTCAAGGCATACCAGCCTCTCCGCAAAGCATTCCAACCTCTCCACAAAGCATTCCAACCTCACCACAAAGCATTCCATCCTCTCCAAAAGCCATATTAACATCTCCACAAGGCATACATGTAACATCTTCACAAGCACACATGTAAACATACCCAGAAACAGACATGCAAAAGTGTTCGCAAGCAGACATACCACACAACACAAAAGAGTGACGAGCCAGCCAAGACACACCCTTCAAAGAAAACATTCTCACATTCCAACCAGAAGAACAAACTGAAAACTGAAACCAGGCAAAGAAATATATATATATATATATATATATATATATATATATATATATATATATAATATATAAATATATCATTTAAGTATAGTGGATTCGAGCTAAATAAACTCGTTTTCTATGAATATATGAAATATTATAGCTTGTATAGTATACTGTTTTTTCTCTCGCGTTTTTTTAATGATGATAATTTTCTAAATTAAGCGAGGGCCGTAAATAAACCGGTATAACAGCAATTTTAGATTCGTATAACAAGATTTTTTTCTTTTTTTAGTGAGTAATAACATTGTCGAAAAGTTTTTTTCAATAAAGGGACTTTTTTATTTGTACAGTGTTTCACCCAGGACAGTGTTCCAGGAAACTTTTTCGCTCAGTGATTGGGCGGAGCGTTTCGTCAAATGCTCCAAACTTCCCCGCTAATGTACCACCCCCTAATAAAATATTTACCTTCTATATTTATATGTTTCTATATCCCCAGACACTGTATGACCCCTACTGATTTAGCGCTCTGCACGTGAATGTAATAATAATAATCATAATGATACTACTAGCTACTACTACTACTACGATTACTACTACGACTACTACTATTACTACTAATGCTACTACTACTACTCACTAAAATCATATGTCGTTTAGAACAACTATATACCTTTTCGGCGAACTATTGTCTTCACCCCATCACCTCATGCAACACGCACACTTCCTCCAACAGCGCACCAGGACAATCTCTATATTCCGGCCGTTCACGCCACCGAGCGCTTATTATAATCCACGCGTTGTGGCAGCCCACAGAGAGAAATTCTTGTGGGCATTTTCCAGCTAGCATACAATATCCTCGGCCTCGGTGACGCTGGAACGCCTTCCATGGAGGAAAGGTTGTACCTCACCTGGAACCTTTGCCTGAAGCCTCAGTGTCTTTGGGATCCTAACACTTCACGGAAGATGAACGGTGGATGGTACCTCCTACCCTTAACTTCCTCCAACAAGGCACCTAGGAACAATCTTTCCCGGGATGTTTCCCGGCCAGTCACGACCCACCGAGCTGCTATTACAATCCCCACGTCGTTGTGGCAGCCCCAGAGAGAAATTCTTGTGGGCATTTTTCCAGCTAGGCACTACAATATCCTCCGGCGCCTCCGGTGACGCCTGGAACACTTTCCATGGAGGCTGTGAGGTGTTGGTACCTCCCTGGAACCTTATTCTGAAGCCTCAGGTGTCTTCTGGGATCCTAACACTTTCCACGGAAGATGTAAGGTGGGGATGGTACCTCTCTTGAGCCTCGTTTTGAAGCTTCGAGTCTTCTGGAAGCCTGGAACACTTTCCACGGAGGCTGTGAGGTGTTGATTCTTCTCTGGATCGGTATTTTGAAGCTTCAGGAGTCACCTGAAAGCCTGGAACGCCTTCCAAGGAAGCTGTGAGGTTCTGGGGCCTCTATGGAGCCTTATCCCCTTATGGAAGGTTCCTTGATGCTGGTGAGGGGCTCTTGATCTAGGGAACTGGATCTGTGCTCCAGTTCCCTGAATTAACCCTGAATACCTTCCATCCCCCCCACAGGCGCTGTATAATCCTACGGGTTTAGCGCTTCCCCCTTGATTATAAATAATAATATGGAGCCTTATTCTGAAGCCTCAGGTGTCTCCTGGAAGCCTGGAACGCTTTCTGCAGAAGCTGTGAGATGTTGGTGCCTCTCTGGAACCTATTTTGAATCCTCAAGAGTCACCTGGAAGCCTGCACTACCTTCATGGAAGCTCTGAAACCTCCTTCGGCTCTTAAAGAGGTGTCGCAGTGTGTACATCTCTATGGCTTTAGCAGTGAGCTTTTAACCACACAATGCCTATCGCTATTAGTCTGATCATCCTGGCTGTGATTGCTCAGTTGATGCTCATATGTCTCCACAAGCCTCTCTAATCTTCCATAATCCTCTCTAATGCTAGGGCATTTAACCAATAAATACTTCGATCCCTGGCCATAATTCGTGCTAAGTAAAGCATAAATATTGTTTCATGGCCGCTTCTGATCGTTCTGCCTGAGATGGTTCACTGACCTCAAGTATGTTGACAGAGACGCAGGTTGCTGATCAAGCTTTTATCGGGGCTGTGTTTCGCTCTGTTTAGGGATTTATCAAGCCATGTTTCGCTGTGTGTAGAGCTTTATCGTGTCATGTTTCCATATGGATAGAGATTTATGATGTTATGTTTCGCTCTGTGTAGAGCTTTATCATGTCATATATCGATATGTAGAAAGCTTTATCACGCCATGTTTCGCTCTGTGTAGAGTTTTATCAAGTCATGTCTGGTTCAGTGTAGGACTTTATCAAGAAGTTCACCGCTCTATGTACAGTTTTCTAAAGTTATGTTTCGCTCCGCAGAGCTCCATTAAGTCATGCCTGAATAACGCTCTACACAGAGCGAAATTCAAGCTAGACAAGACTAGGTTACTTTCGCTTAAAAAAAAACTCACAAAAAAAAAAATGCCGCAGTGCGTCTGGCAACGAGGTAACGTAGTAAAACCAAGCAATGTTTAGTGGTGCGTCTGGCAACGAGGTAACGTAGTAAAACCAAGCAATGTTTAGTGGTGCGTCTGGCAACGAGGTAACGTAGTAAACCAAGCAATGTTTAGCAGTGCGTCTGGCAACGAGGTAACGAAGTAAACCAAGCAATGTTTAGTGGTGCGTCTGGCAACGAGGTAACGTAGTAAACCAAGCAATGTTTAGCAGTGCGTCTGGCAACGAGGTAACGAAGTAAACCAAGCAATGTTTAGTGGTGCGTCTGGCAACGAGGTAACGTAGTAAAACCAAGCAATGTTTAGCGGTGCGTCTGGCAACGAGGTAACGTAGTAAAACCAAGCAATGTTTAGTGGTGCGTCTGGCAACGAGGTAACGAAGTAAACCAAGCAATGTTTAGTGGTGCGTCTGGCAACGAGGTAACGTAGTAAACCAAGCAATGTTTAGCAGTGCCTCTGGCAACGAGGTAACGAAGTAAACCAAGCAATGTTTAGCGGTGCGTCTGGCAACGAGGTAACGTAGTAAAACCAAGCAATGTTTAGTGGTGCGTCTGGCAACAAGGTAACGTAGTAAACCAAGCAATGTTTACATCTGAACGTTCATCACTGGCAGTGCGAGAAAGGGCTTAACACACAAGGTAATTCCTCTGAACAAACTCTCCACGACATGTCGACAAGCTTGGCGCAGCGAGTATGCAAATAATGCAGCCAAGTTAGCAATATAAATCCAAAGAGTCTATATCCAAAGCAAATATTAATGCTATTCACGATTCAGAATACTGAAATAATGTAATTCATATTAAGCGGTAAACGCATGTGGGTCATACAGCACAAGAAGTGGTGGAGGCTCGATCCTCCGTCTCAATTTCAACGTCTTGTGCAAGCCGAGGCTGATGAAAGGCTCTTGATCCATAACATTGGAGCTACCCCATTCCCTTCCTCGGATCAAGTCTGATTATATCCCATCATCAACCTTCTCCCTCTTCAGGAGGCAACTTGACTCATAAGAACTTAGCGCTTCCTCGTCAAGAGAACAGAAAGCTTTCGTGGTCAGAGTAGTGGCCCATGCTAACCTTCCTAAGGTGTATAAATATACTTAGTTGGATGAATATTATTGTAGTCAGCTGGCCCAGTGGTTAACGCACTGACCTAGAGTTTAACGATTCACTTGCTGTGAGTTCGATCCCCACCCGAACCATGGTTAGAAAGCTGCCATATGTTCCTCTTGTATATCTCTCCTGGGGTCTTGTCTGAGAATTCCCCCTGTATATCTCCCCATTGTATCTCCTTTGGGTCTCGTTTGGGTATTTCCCCTGCAGTCTCTCACGCAAAGTCCGCGAACTTAAACGCAAAAGAGATAATTCTCCGGATTAAATGCAGAGGCAAAGTTACCTGACCATTTTTAAGCCCAGGTGAACATACGATGCAATCATAGCAACGAGGACCCAGGGAGCTGCAACACTGCACCTACCTTCACGGTCCCTGCATGCTGGTAAAGGGGTCTTGATCTATGGAATCGGAGCTACTCAACTTTTCCCTTTTCCTCGGGTCATATCCGTAGGTACTTGAAGTATGTGTGTGTATATATATATATATATATATATATATATATATATATATATATATATATATATATATATATAATATATTATATATATATATATATATATATATATATATATTGTGTGTGTATATATATATACCGATAGGTGTATATCTCTCAGTTTTTATAAAATGGGACTCATTCATTTCCGAGTATATACACACCACCACCACCACCACCACCACCAACACCACCACCACCAACACCACCACCACCACCCACCACCACCACCACCACCACCACCACCACCACCACCACCACCACCACCACCACCACCACCACCACCACCACAACTAACACCTCACCCACACAAACAACGCCACAAATGGCTGCCACACACGTAACTCTCATAAAAACTCAGATAATTGCAAACATCATTCCCAGCTTGCTCTTAACTCCAGGATTTCCCACCAAACCTCTGTGACCTGGCTTTAAAACGTACGTTTTTTAACGTTGCTTCGACGGACTCGATCGTAACTTCGAGGCAAACAGGACTGGACCTGTGTGCTCTGTGAAGAACTCTAGTTTTCTCTTGTCAGTGTTGTAAAATGTAGTGGGTCATGTTGTCGTGGTGGGTCATGTTGTCGTGGTGGGTCATGTTGTCGTGGTGGGTTATGTTGTCGTGGTGGGTCATGTTGTTGTGGTGGGTCATGTTGTCGTGGTGGGTCATGTTGTCGTGGTGGGTCATGTTGGCGTGGTGGGTCATGTTGTTGTGGTGGGTCATGTTGTTGTGGTGGGTCATGCTGTCGTGGTGGGTCATGCTGTCGTATGGGTCATGCTGTCGTGGTGGGTCATGCTGTCGTGGTGGGTCATGTTGTCGTGGTGGGTCATGTTGTCGTGGTGGGTCACCTTGTCGTGGTGGGTCATGTTGTCGTGGTGGGTCATGTTGTCGTGGTGGGTCATGTCGTGGTGGGTCATGTTGTCGTGATGGGTCATGTTGTCGTGGT